TTCCATATTATCAGTGTTTATATTACAAGGACTCTTCTCCTCTATGACAGCCAGGAACTACAAGCTTTCTAAATCATTTCTCTCCAGAAGCAATTAGTATTCCAGTACAAAAGCAGTTGTAGTGTCTCTTGTCATTTCTGAACAATTCATACACAAACAAAATCCTCTAATAAAAAGTGATCTTTGATCCCAAGGTTGCAGAGCTATCTTTGAGGATGGTCCACTGGATACTTTGAAATAAATGTTATGAAATTAGGCTTTGTAGTTGTAATGCTAAGCGACCACACAGCCTGAGTCTTGAAAGTCAATAAAGGGCACTTAAGAGGAAATAAGTACACAAAGGAGGAGGAACAACACTGTCCCATATGGATATAAATACCTGAAATATAGGGAGCTAACAGTTTTGCATTTGGGCTACATTTGATAATTTTAGTTTGTGATGGCGAGAGTGGCACCACCTATATGTAGAACTGTAAGTTGCAGGATTTAAACTGTTGTATCATGCCTGATTTTGCCTTTTTGCCCTGTAAATGTATAGTTGGATTGATTGGTTATTTATAGCTGTCAATCAATGTTGTTTGCACCAGTTGAATTGCTCCTCCTGCTCAATTGTTTGACCCCACCTCTTTCTAGAGAGCAGGACAGTGTTTCCTTTTCCATTCCACCATCAAACTTTCTATCAGATGGACGTGAGAGAGAGACTTGGCTCTGAAGCCCTTGATTAAGTTACCTCTCAGCACCAATTCTGAGGTTCTTACCCTTGAGACTTATGCTTCATGTTCAGATCAACCTGGACGACGTTGAGAAGTCTCAAGCGCCTTCAAACCAGTTCTTTGGCACCAGAGGAAGGCTTTGTGCCTTCAAAATATAGGCTATTAGAATTGGGGTTGTGATTATTCCAATATTCACAGCCATTGAGAAAGAGGGACCTGGAAAAGCTTCTCAGCTGCAAAGACAACCAGAGACTGTAATGTATATTTTCCTTTACCCCTTTGAAACTTCCAGCTTATTGCCTTAAAGGGATAACTCTTTGTGAACAATAAAACCTATTTTGAGTTATCTACAGTGTTTTGGTCTTTGGGAGTTCCAGTTTTCCTAAAGGAGGACAAGAAGCAATCCCCTGGGGGAAAAATGTCACGTCCATGCCTCTTTCACTAAGAGTTATAGCCCCCAGGCGCGACGGCATATAGTTGATGGCTCCTTGCTTTAAGAATACAAAAAATTAAGAAACCAACGTGCTATAACTGGAACAGAGGCCAACTGAATACACCTTAGGAGGGCTTGCATTCTAGGGACTTTGCCGCTCAGCCGCTTAAGTGGCTGGGGGGGAAAGGAAGGGGGCCTGAGGCTGTTAGGAATTGTGGGAGTTGTAGTCCAAAACACCTGGAGGGCCAACGTTTGCCCATGCCTGGTATATTGTCTCCTCTTGTTGCTCTATTACACTGTTGCGCTGGCTGGAAGAATCAGGACCACAGTGTTGTTAAAGACAGGAAAGGGAAACGTCTCTCCTGCTAATTCAGTTGGAGGTTTCCTATTCAGCCAGGGAACTTTTTTCTATCTTTATTGCCAACTATTGAGAATTTACTTCGAGCTTTGGAAAGTTTTGCAGTAATATGTGCTCTGGCTTGTAGCTCTGGAAGGTTTTGCATGGCACAGGAATTCAGGTTTGTGAATTGGCAAGGTTTTGCATGACACAGCAGCTCAGGTATGCTCAATGGAAAGAGTCTATATGACATATGACCCTTCATTTACAGATCTGTAAGGTTTGCATGTATGACAGCCACCCAGCTGAGGTAAATGGTAAAATATAACCTTGCCCATTTTATTTCAGCCTTGCCTTATGCCCTTCACCCCACTGACTGTGGAATGCAGCCACTCCCTACTGAAATTGTTTCCAATTTGGAATCTAACTCTGGGCTAAAAGGTGTTTCCCCCTCATTTCCCCAGGTCAAGCAGATGCCTTTTCTGATATTAACATGTGCGGCACGTTAACTGATTTTTACCCCACACTGAGTAAATCCAAACTGCAAATCTTTACCTTCAGGGTGAGTGTGACCCTATCTAACACAGGTTGAATACTTGTTATTTGATCTGCCTTCCAGGAGCACTTCTTTCTGGTCTAGATTAAGGGCCCTTTCACACAGCCCTATAACCCTGAATACAAAGGCAGAAAATCCCACAATATCTGCTCTAAACTGGGTTACCCGAGTCCACATTGCTGTATATTACAGTCAAAGCAGATAATGTGGGATTTTATTCAGCTGTGTGGAAGGGACCCAAGATGCTTGCTTATAAAACTATTGTCCTTTATAAACAAAATGTGGACCTTCTACAGCAGCATTTCTCAACCTGGGAGTCGGGACCCCCAGAGGGGTCACAAGGGGGAGTCAGAGGGGTCACCAAAGACCATCAGAAAACAGTATTTTCTGTTGGTCATAGGTGTTCTCTTATGGGACGTTTGGCCCAATTCTATCATTGGTGGGGTTCAGAATGCTCTTTGATTGTAGGTGAACTATAAATCCCAGCAACTACAACTCTCAAATGTCAAGGTCTATTTTCCCCAAACTCCACCAGGGTTCACATTTGGGCATATTGAGGATCCGTGCCAAGTTTGGTCCTGATCCATCATTGTTTGAGTCCACAGTGCTCTCTGGATGTAGTTGAACTACAACTCCAAAATTCAAGATCATTGCCCACCAAATCTTTTCAGAATTTTCTGTTGGTCATGGGAGTTTTGTGTGCCAAGATCAGTTCAATTCCATTGTTGGTGGAGTTCAGAATGCAATTTGATTGTAGGTGAACTATAAATCCCAGCAACTAAAACTCTCAAATGACAAAATCAATCCCCCCAAGCCTACTAGTATTCAAATTTGGACATATTGGGTATTTATGCCAAATTTGGTCCAGTGAATGAAAATACATCCTGCATATCAGATATTTACATTACAATTCATTACAGTAGCAAAATTACAGTTATGAAATAGCAACAAAAATAATTCTATTTTGGGGGGTCACCACAACATGAGGAACTGTATTAAGGGGTCACGGCATTAGGAAGGTTGAAAAAAACTGTTCTACAGAGTCACACTCAACTTCTTGAATACATAGCAGAGTGGACTCAGAGCCCTTCCACACAGCCATATAACCCAGAATGTCAAGGTAGATTATCCACAATATCTGCTTTGAACTGGACTATCTGAGGGCCCTTCCAGACAGGCCGTATGCCCCAGGATTTTATCCCGGATTTTCTATTTATCCCAGATTATCTGGCAGTGCGGACTCATATAATCCAGTTTAAAGCAGAAAACCTGGGATCCAATCCTGGGATATGGGTCATGTCTGGAAAAGCCCCTTCCACACATTTGCATAAAATCCACATTGCACTGGATTAAATAGCAATGTGGACTCAGATAGCCCAGTTCAAAGCAGATATTGTGGATTGTGCACCTCGATATTCTGGGTCCCCTTCCACACAGCTGAATAAAATCGCAAATTATCTGCTTTGAACTGGGATATATGGCAGTGTGGATTCAGATAACCCAGGGCAATATATCTGTTTTGAGCTGGGTTATCTGGGTCCACACTAAGATACTGTGGGCTTTTCTGCTTTGATATTCTGGGATATAGGGCAGTGTGGAAGGGCCCTCAGATAACCCAGTTCAAAGCAGATATGGTGGGGTTTTCTGCCTTGATATCCTGGGATATAGGGCTGTGTGAAAGTGCCCTCAGATAACCCAGTTCAAAACAGATATTGTGGGGTTTTCTGCCTTGATATCCAGGAATATAGGGCTGTGTGGAAGGGCCATTGGATAACCCAGTTCGAAGCAGATATGGTGGGTTTTTCTGCCTTGATATCCAGGAATATAGGGCAGTGTGGAAGGGCCATTGGATAACCCAGTTCAAAGCAGATATTGTGGGATTTTCTGCCTTGATATCCTGGAATATAGGGCTGTGTGGAAGTGCCCTCAGACAACCCAGGTGAAAGCAGATATTGTGGGGTTTTCTTCCTTGATATCCAGGAATATAGGGCTGTGTGGAAGGGCCCTCGGACAACCCAGCTCATAGCAGATAGGGCTGTGTGGAAGTGCCCTCAAATAACCCAATTCAAAGCAGATATTGTGGGTTTTTCCTGCCTTTATATCCTGGGATATAGGGCTGTGTGGAAGTGCCCTCAGACAACCCAACTCACAGCGGATATTGTGGGGTTTTCTTCCTTGATATCCAGGAATATAGGGCTGTGTGGAAGAGCCATTGGATAACCCAGTTCAAAGCAGTTACTGTGGGTTTTTCTGCCTTGATATCCAGGAATATAGGTCTGTGTGTAAGTGCCCTCAGACAACCCAGCTCACAGCAGATATTATGGGTTTTTCTGCCTTGATATCCTGGGATAAAGGTCTGTGTAGAAGGTCCCTCAGACGACCCATCTCACAGCAGATATTGTGTGGTTTTCTGCCTTGATATCCTGAGATATAGGGCTGTGTGGAAGTGCCCACAGACAACCCAATTCAAGGCAGATATTGTGGGATTTTCTGCCTTGATATCCAGGAATATAGGGCTGTGTGGAAGTGCCCTCAGACAACCCAATTCAAAGCAGATATTGTGTGGTTTTCTTTCTTGATATCCTGAGATATAGGGCGGTGTGGAAGCGCCCTCGGACAACCCAGCTCACAGCAGATATTGTGTGTGTTTCTGCCTTGATATTCTGTATGGAAGTGCCCACAGACAACCCAGCTCACTGCAGATATTGTGGGATTTTCTGCCTTGATATTTTGGGATATATGGCTGTGTGGAAGGACCTTGGGAGAGTTTATTAACCCAGAAGGTGGGGAGGAATAAGGCATGGCAATTTTCCCGCCTGAGGGGCAAAGCGAGCGCGCGCGACCCTCCGAGGCCACCCTATTGGCTGGAGGTGGGGGGGGGGGGCGACGTCCGAAGGCGGGAAAAAGAGGGGGAGAGGGAGGGCGGAGAAAGGGGCGGAGCCTCGGGGGGGAGCCCCGGCTTCTCTGCCGCCGCCTCTTCATTCCTCTTCTGGAGAAGGAGCGAGCGGCGCGGCTCCGGAGCAATGGCCGCGTTCCTCGGCGGCGCAGGAGGAGGAGGAGGAGGAGGGAGCCTCGGGAGCGGGGTCTGCCCGTGGCCGCGCTCCCCTCTGGGCTCGGCGCTGGGCTGGGAGCCGCTGCTGCCGGGGCTGCAGATCCGCTCGCGCTCGGTGGAGCAGACGCTGGTGCCGCTGGTGGCGCAGGTATTGCCCACTCCAACCCAGCCCTCCCCCTTCATTGTCCACTTTGAAGGCTCCTTCTCCTCCCGCCCRCCCTKTTMMSGACCCTTTCTGTGCCCACACWRACACACACACACCCAGAAAGGGACCGCTCCGTTCCCCTTTCAGCCGAAGCGCCTTCAAACGGGGAAGGACTTTCTCTCTTTTGAAGGGCAGCCAGCCAGCCATCCATCCATTCACCCCGGCCTTTGCTTTTTGGCTTGGCTTTTGGGGCGCTTCTTTCTTTCACATAACTTTCCCTCATTCCCCCCCCCCCCCCCACCTCTTTTCGACTGTAATCCTTTTTAAAGAGCCTGTGACTAACTTCCGCGAAAGTTTGGCGCTTCGGGCGAAAAAAGTTTCTGCTATTGTTGTTGTTGCTGCCAGGCTCGTTGCTTTGTGTGGCTTGGTGAATATTGCATGAGCCTTACCTTGAGCCGAGGTAGGATTCCTGCGCGCTCTTTGGGGAAGGAGGAGGAGGCTAGAAATAGTCCCTTGGGCTCCATTGGGGGGTTGCCAGCATCGTCCCTACCAAATCCCTATATCCCAGAATATCAAGGCAGAAAACCCCACCATATCTGCTTTCAGCTGGATAATCTGAGGGCATTGCCACACAACCCTATATCCCAGGATATCAAGACAGAAAACCCTACAATATTTGCTTTGACCTGAGTCCTTTTTTGGAAGCCTTTGAACAGAGGATAGATGGCCATCTGTTGGGGGTGCTTTTGAATGCAATTTTCCTGCATCTTGGTAGGGGGTTGGACTGGATGGCCCATGAGGTCTCTTCCAACTCTGTGATTCTATGATCTGCAAGTGTAGACTTGGCCCTTCCATACAGCCATATAACCCAGAATATCAAGGCACAAAATCGCACAATATCTGCTATGAACTGGGTTACCTGATTCCACACTGCCATATGTTCCAGTTCAAAGCAGAAAATGTGGGATTTGATTCAGCTGTCTTGTAGGAGCCCCGAGGGCCCTTCCACACAACCCTATATCCCAGAATATCAAGGCAGAAAATCCCACAGTATTTGCTTTGAACTGGGTTATCTGGGTCCACACTCAAATAATGTGGGATTTTCTGCCTTGATATTCTAGGATATAGGGCTGTGTGGAAGGGTCCAGAATCTGCACTGCCAGATAATCTGGGATAACCACGAAACCTGGGATCCGATTCAGGGATATAGGGTCTGTCTGGAAGGGCCCTCAGGCTGGATCTACACTGCCATATAATCCTGATTATCTACATTGAGCTGGGGGCCCTTCCACAATGTGTGGACTCAGATAACCCAGTGCGAAGCAGATGTGGGATTTTCTGCTTTGATATTCTGGGTTATATAGCTGTGTGGAAGGGCCTCTGGATTATATGAATCTTCACTGCCATGTAATCCAGTTCAAAGCAGATAATCTGGATTTTATATGGCAGTGTAGAAGGGGCCTCAGCCTGCATTATCACATCTTGTCTTCTCTTCCTGCGTCCCTTTCCTCGTCTACTGTAGAAACCCTTGTAGAAACAAATGAATTTTGCATTGAGACTTGGGCCTCCGTCCCCAAGATATCTGTGCAATATTTGTGCAAATATTGTACAACATCTGATATGTATGTGTATAAAGTGCTTATTTCATGTGTAGCATTGGGTCCCATCTCCGAGAAAGTTCATAATGTATATGCAAGTACAGGCAGTCCCCTGTTCTTTTCCCATCCTGGACATTCCACAGATATATAAATCTCAAGAAACCATCAGGACCAGCTTATCACCAGGACCAGTAAGCAGCTAGACCTTGAAGCTGCAAGGCTTTTCAATGCTACTCAAGTTGGCCAACTGCAACATTTGTGCCTACCTCAAGCAGACAAGAGTTCTTTCTCCCACCCTGGGCATTCCACAGATATATAAACCCCACTTGCCTAGTTTCCAACAGACCTCACAACCTCTGAGTATGCCTGCCATAGATGTGGGTGAAATGTCAGGAGAGAATGCTTCTGGAACATGGCCATACAGTCTGGAAAATTCACAGCAACCCCATGATTCTGGCCATGAAAGCCTTTGATAATATATTGAGACTCAACTTGTTTGAGGAATAAAACAATCACCCCCTCATCTCTCCCCCTCCCCTAAAATGTGTATATTTTGCAAAACAATAGACCTCACAACCTCTGAGAATGCTTGCCACAGATGCAGATGAAATGTCAGGAGATAATGCTTCTAGAACATGGCCATATAGCCTGAAAAACCTATAATAATCCAGTAGAATGATTTTCAATAAATATGAGTTAAATACGGAATTTGAACACATCATCATTTGCATGATGCAAGTGGAAATGAATAGGACGCTGCTCAAGAATATTAGCAAAAGTGCCTCTGCCATTCATGTGGGTGACAATGAAGTCCCATTCATCCTGGTGGATTGTTCTGGGGCGAAGGATCAGCCCTTAGAGCCTCTCCTGCCTGCTCTTGGTCTCTATTCATCCAGATCACTTCAGGCACCTAAGAGGCTTGTTAAAATCTCAGCATGAATGTCCTTGAATGTTAAGCCTGTGGGTGTACAGTGAATTTCAAATATCTCACTCAGTGCCCAGAAAGAGTGGCCATTTTTTAAACTAATACATTTTTGAGTTTGACATCATAGCAGCTGGAAAACATGATGTTTGAGGTTCCTAATGAATGTGTTGCTTTCAAAAAGCTGCACAGAATAAGTGGGGCCACTGAGGGCTGATGGCAGTGCTGTAACTAATAAACAACTGCAGTTCTATCTTGTGCTGAACATTTGTGTATTCTCATATTTGTGGCATTTATATGATTCATTTTGTGACTAAATCATTTTTTTTATTTCATTGTACATTGCATGTTGCGAACAGCTGCACTTGAAGTCAAACTTGCACTCCTGCCTTATAAACATTTAACATTTAGAACAGACATTCCTAAAAAATGATCAGCTGACATTTTTATACTAATTCCCTCTTCCCATGCAAACATGCAGTAGTAGTTTATGGCCCACTTATAGCTTAAAACAGCCATTCCCATCCTGGATCCTTGTATATATCTTGGACTATATCTCCCATTATCTACAAAGTAGAGAGTTCTGGGAGTTACCACTTGGAGCAGAACTGACCTTGAAAAACTATCATCAGTTTTTCAAAGACTCGTGTGATTGCCCAGCAGCAAGTCGCATGTGTCACAACTAATAAGATAACTTTTTGATTGTTTCAAAATGTCAAAAAATATTGAAACAAAAGTCTTTTAAAGTTCAGAGTATGATTTACTCCAAAGTACATTTAAAGCAGACTCCAGTTCGACAAGTGTGACACAGGATTAAACCTATTTTTTAAAAGTTTTAGTGTGATTGGGGACAAAACATTCAGCATTAAAACATGGCATAGTTTTAATGATTTTGTGCAATGAAAAAGAGGAAATCAGGGACAAAGGAAATGCAAAGCAAAATGCAGGACTGAACAGAATAATTCTGACTTGATTATTTTTAAATATCAGGTATAAGAATTGTTACTTTTGAATCCAATTTGTATGCTATTCTTTGGATTTCTGACTTAAATGTGTATTTATGAATATCACACTTGTCTTTCTAAGAAAGTTGAGTAAGCTTTAGCATAAATACTATGGTTAGAAATATGTGGGAGCACTGACAGTCATTCACACGCACACACAGATTGTGGACTAATACATTATACTTTCTATCAAACAAAACAAGCTTCACTGCTGTGAGCTTTATGGGCTGTATGGCCATATTCCAGAAGCATTCTCTCCTAATGTTTCACCTACATCTGTGGCAGAGGTTGTGAGGTCTGTTGGAAACTAGGTAAGTGAGGTTTATATATCTGTGGAATCAGGACAATAAATAAAGAGCAATACTCAAAAATGTGAATTCCAGACATGAAGCCATCAAGGCCAACTAAAACCTCCCAACTAAGGATTCCCCCAGGCAGAAAGCAACCAGTCTTTGAAGCTGCAAGGCCATTGAATGCCAATCAAGGTGGTCCATTGCAATATTCACACCTGCCTCATGCAGACAAGAGTTCTTTCTCCCACTCTGGACATTCCACAGATACATAAATCCCACTTTCTTAGTTTCCAACAGACCTCACAAACTCTGAGGATGTCTGCCATAGATGTGGGCAAAACATCAGGAGAGAAAGCTTCTAGAACATGGCCATACAGTCTGGAAAACTCACAGCCATGAAACTCTGGCCATGAAAGCCTTCGACAACACATAAAACAAGCTTAATTTTCCAGATCCCCTGTTTTGTAAACATTATATACCATGATCAAGATCATCTGGTACATTGCCTGTTTGCTGTCCTTTTAAATTTGGACTTATTGTAATACTCCTCTTTCCATATTATCATGGAGCCAACTCAGATGAGAACACCTCTTCTATTTGCTCTGAATAAACTCCATGTTTACACCATGTCACCAGTGAAATAAGACTCAGTGATGCCCTTTGAAGACAAATGAGTAAACACAAGGTTTCCTGCCCATGTTCTGCAGTTATCTTGTAGGTTGAAAAATGTGTGAAGGTTTGGAAATGATGCCCAGAAAGACTGGATTTCTCATTTTTTGTGCAATAATAAAAAGTAGGCCTGGGTAACAACGGAAAAATTTGTTTCTAAAATCGATTTGTATTTGGGGGTTTTTTTGTTTCGATATTTAAAATAATTACAAAATTTTCCCTTTAAAAAGTTCGGTATTTACGAAATTTCGTTAATATTAACGAATCAATTCGTTAAAATGGCGGACGCGGTTGCGCGACATGAAAATAATAGTTTTAAATAATAGTTTTAACCTCGGAGAAGGAAAGAGGGGGGAAAGAGAGAGAGAGGAGGGGTGAAACAAACCACTTTCTGCCTTCGTGAATGTAAGGGACAGTCAAAGCAGTACTGAAAGATGGCCATCCATTCTTAATAATAATAATAATAATAATAATAATAAATAATTAATATAATAGTTTTAACCTGGAGAAGGAAAGG